CACAGACTACAGAGTCAGCAGGTCAGCTGCAGGCCTGGACTCAGGGATGGGGGCGCGGCCCTCCACGGGGGGCGGTGTGCACTGGAGGAAGCAGCTTGAGGAAAACTACAGTATAAAGTGAGGGAGAAGACACGGGCTCTGGGTGGATGGGGACCCCAAAGGCCTCCTAGGGAAAGTGATGCAGGAGCTGAGACCCGAGTATGCGACAGGTGGTCAGGAGAAAGGTGCGTCTGTGCAAAAAGTGGAGTTGAGAAGATTTCGGAGAGGGTTGAGGTGTGGAGACTCCGCAGCCAGGTTGTGACCATGAAGGGCATGAGAGCGAGCACTGCTCAGGATGTGGCCCCTAGAGCCAGGGTTGGCAAGAGTTGTAAACTTCATCCTCAGAACCACGAGGCTCAGGTTTAACCTTGTTTGGTCTTTTAAATTTTCACGTGAAATATTCAAGACAAATAGAAACACGGACTAATACAACAACAAAGCCCGCATTTCTGCCACCAGACGTCCCTGCTCCGGTGCGGGCCCCTGCCCTCGTCTGACCTCTGTGGGCCGCACAGCCCAGGTGCAGCACGCCACTGTGATGACAGACGCCGGCCCAGTCTCTGTGACCGCGGTGTGGGCGCACAGCAGCAGGGGGCCAGCGAGGAGGTGGTGGCAATGGCGGGAGCTTCCAGGACGGTGGCTTGGAGCTCAAGAGAAGGGAATGGATTTGCTGGACACCATCCACAGGGCGTGGAGATGGATGTGGGGCAGGAAAAGAGGTGTCGACAGTGGCAGGTGTGGGCCAACCAGTGGCATGATGGTTAAAGCAGCTGGAACCTACACAGCCAACTGCAGGGTTCAAATCCCAGACCCAGTGGCTTGAAAGACATGCTGGGTGCATGTGCATAGGTACCCAAAATCCTGAGAGAAAAGTGGAGGAGAGGGGGTTATGGGGTGGCCATCCCCCTGGGGGATAACTTCTCACTTTCTCTCTCTTTCTCTTTACCCCCCTTGGCAAGTTCACATGCCCTATGGCAAACGAAAAAAAGAAAGAGCCACAGGTGATGGTGGGCATCCAAAAGAGAACCAGGTCCCAGGGAGGCAGTTTTCAGCATGTGGAGGCTGTGGTACATCCAGGTGGAGCAGACAGACGTAGAGAGGTCTGGGCGGGGTCCAGGGCTACTCAGCGGAGGCTTCAGGTGGCCCGGCCTGTGGGCCCTGGTCTGAGACGCTGGCGCATGTGGGCAGTGAGGGGCCTGGGGAGCAGCCAGGGTGCCCACTGACCGGGGGGGACTGTGCAGCTGCAAGGAGTGAGGAGAGAGCCCTGCAAGGAGCCATATAGGCCTTCAGGATGTGTCCGAGGATGGGAACCACCAGTTAGCGTAATGGTTATGTTACTGGACTCCCACGTAGTCGACCGCGGTTTGCGCTCCAGACCCGGTAGCTTAAAACTCACGCCAGGCGCGTGTGCGTGCGTGCCCAAGATCCCGAGAGGAGAATGGAGGAGAAGGGATTGTGGCGTGACCATCCCCCCGGGGGGGTGATTTCTCGCTTTCTGTCTCTCTGTTTCTCTCTGTCTGTCTGGCGAGCGCATGTGCCCT